AGCAACTCTTAAAATATGCAAATAGTAATGTCTTTAGGGGCCACTAAGGCCAACAACTCGAACAACACTCAATCGCCGTCCACACACAGTTATGCATAGTCCCTCACTCGCTTGGTCACGTGATCCATGGTTTCCCGCGCTAATGGAATCCCGGATGTCCACAAGAACACTACATCCTCTCTTTCTCCGCTTATACATGAACAGTAAACTCTTAAACAGACAACATAAATAATGTCAATAGAAAACGTTTGTAAACGCGGTACGATCAAAGTTACTACTGTCACTAATAAAATCTCTCGGAGGGTCGTGTGACTCTCCCTGACCTCCTTGGTAATGGCTGTGGCTGGATCGGACTCTGATCCTTAAGGTTACCGTAGACCTTCGCGGGTGTCCTTCGGAAAAACATTATAGGCGCGCTGTTTTAAAGCAACTACCATAAACTATATATCAATGCAAAGGTTATGAAATGCACTATCCGGTAAAAATTGTTTGGCTTTAATTTATTTAACCGTAAGACGAGTGCGCCCCAAAAGCCAAAAACGACTGACGCCTCTTTGAGCGAATTTATCGTATATCGAATTCGAGCACACAAACAAAACAACTACATTATATCAATCACAAGGCGTCAATCTTCAAAACTGTGTGAGGCTTTCTCGAAATTCTTATTGTTGCTTTGCAATATTTCTGTCAAGTTTGCTTATCAAAAATTTGCGATACGTGTTACAATAAAGGCCATTGCGGGAGATCAACTTTGAAAACCGGAAATCCTTCACACGTTATTTTTGTTTGATGTCTTGGGAATCTTCGGGCCAAATTTCAAGGCAATCCGTTAAATTCTCATACCCTATAAATTCGTTCAAAGGGGAACCACTCGCGTAAAAACGAAGTCAGTTTTTTTCGCTTCTAAAGGTTTATAAGCATTTCACGCCTTTGCTGCGTCATATGTCAACACTGTGGATACCGCAGATGCCGACAGCCAATTGAGATGCAGAAAATTCCGGCTGCGGAGTCCCCAGAGACTCTGCACAAGATACTAGTTGAGCAGGCCTGCAAGTTGAGTGCTTGACTGTAGTTCAGGATTTCTTTGCGATATGCCGGGCGGAAAAAAAGTCTTCGAAGCAGAGAGAAACAGGATGAGCAGCGGAATTAACGGGCCCGATCTCTCTCCATCCTAAAGAACAGCTGCAGGCCGAAATGCGGTCACCATCCGAATAAGACCGAATAATAGGCGTTGCAAACTAGCAGTTCAATGTCCGAGTTCTTCTACATGTACGTACTTTGTAGCTTTGATGGATATTTTTAATTTACGCGTAACCTGGAGGCAAGCGCGTTGAGCGCAATATGCTATCCTATTGTTTTGATTTGTAGAACAAAGAAGTTGGCCCAGAAAACACAGAATTTTCGTTTCCGGGTGTTGTTTTGGGACGTCACGGGAAGCCCTGCCGTTGACACATTCTAATTGGCTTATGACACTCTAGCGGGTTATAGAATTGTATTTGAAAACACGTTTTTGTGGATAACTCGCGCGCGTTTCAAGATTTTAAAATAATGTTTTTTGGAAAATGTAGCTAAAATCGTAATGTTTAGTTTGGTCTACGGTAACCGTAACTGGCTGAATTGGGCTCTGATGCTCAATTGCGCTCATCTCCGGACTGGGACTGGGTGTAGTTTGTCCATGCTCACATGGTACCACTACAGGATCTGGAATAGCTGGAGTCACGACCCGCTTGACATGCTGGATATTTCGCGTATAATCCACACCTTGCGGTGACTTCAACTGGCCCTGATCCCCATAACGTGCTGTCACCTGATATGGCTCTTTCTCATAGTGTGGCGATAACTTATCCTCCTTCCTCTTCTCCAGTAATACAAGATCTCCCTCTTGTATATACTTCTCTGCTGCCTGGTGCCTCTTGTCAACATGATCTGCATCAATTTGCTTTTTCTCTGCATCGCGATCTCTGGTTTGCTGATGTCCCGGCTCCTCAGATTCATCCAAGTCAGCAACTTCTGGTAATTTAGTGGTCATTTTCCTCCCGTACAGTAATTCTGCTGGGCTCTTGCCAGTAGTCGTGTGCGGAGTGGAACGATATGCTATGAGACACTTGTTCAGTTCCAATCTCCAGTCTCTCTTCTCAGCATGGGCCTCTCATCGCTTTCAAAAGGGAACGATTTTGTCTCTCAACTTCTCCGTTTGCTCTTGGCCATTGTGGTGTGGTCAATCTATGCTTGATACCCATTTCATTCAAATACTCTTCCATTTCAGCAGACACCAGGTTGGTTCCGTTATCTGTTCTCAGGATACTGGGTACTCTATATCTAGAGAACTGTTTGTCTAAGCACTTGATAATCACTTCGGAGGTGGTAGATTTAATTACGTCAACTTCCACCCATCGCTGAAATAGTCCACCAAGACAAGTAAATGTTCCCCCGTTGGCATAGGTCCAAGTAAGTCCAATGCTAGATCTTGCCATGGCCTTTCTGGCATTCTCGTCGTTTTCACCGGTGGAGTGACGGTCTCCTTCGTAACAAGTTGACAGCCGTAGCATTCAAGGCATTTGCGTTCTGCATCCTTATCAACACCCGGCCACCATACCTTACTCCTCAGTCTCTCCTTCATTTTCACTATCCCTGGTGACCCTCGTGTGCAAGTTCCACAGCTCTCTGCCTCAACACTTTGGGAATCACAATTCTCGTTCCACTCAGGATAACTTGACCAATGAAAGACAGTTCGTTACGTACCATCACATATGGCTTTTGGGTTTTCTCCCAATTTTCACTAACAAGGCAACTACGCACTGCTTGCAGCTCTTCATCCTCTGCAGAGGCGCTTTCTATCTCTTGAATCTTAAGCGCTACAGGCACTGCCTTTAGGAACACCATCCGAATGTGCTCATCATCATGACGATACTTCTTTGATGCCGGGATTGTTGTCAAACGTGACAGGGCGTCTGCAATATTATCTCGTGATGCGACACAGCATACCTTGTAGTTATATGGCTGCAGTCTCAGCACCCATCGCTCAACATGTGCTGATGGTTTGTAACCTCTAGAGTAGATGACCTTTAAGGCCTCATAATCTGTCACCAAATCAAAGGTCTGCAACCCGTACATGTATAAGTTGAATCGTTCACATGCCCAAACTAAGACCAAAGCCTCCTTTTCTGTCTGGCTGTACCTCTTTCTACACTGCTAAGGCTCCTGCTGGTGTAACAAACAACTCGACCCTCACCATTCTTCTCCTGGACCAACACCGCACCTAGCCCTACAGGACTCGCATCAGCTATCACTCGAGTGTGTGCATCTTTGTCGAAATAGGCAAGAACAGGTGCACTGGCTAACTGCTGCTTCAGTTCCCGAAACGTCTTTTCCTGCTCGCTGCCCCATACAAAGGGTACTCCCAGCCTGGAGATCGCTCGTAAAGGCTCTGCAATTGTTGCAAAATTTGGAATAAAACGTGCGCTAAAGCCAACCATCCCTAGGAAATTTCTAACCTCTCGACTGCTCGACTCGAGCACAGCACGGACCCTCTCCTCCGTTGGACCGATACCATACTTTGACACTAAGAGTCCCATGAAGACCACCTTGTCCATTCGGAATTGACACTTCTCGGGGTTTAGGGTGAGTTTCTTCTCCTCCAATCTCTGTATCACACTATGGAGAATCTTGTCATGTTTCTCATTATTCCTGCCATGTACTATCAAGTCATCTGCGATATTCTGAACCTCGTCAATGTCTGAGACCACTTGTCTTATTATCTGCTGATACTTTTCAGGTGCAGAGTTTACTCCGAAGCTCAGTCTCTTGTATCTGAATAACCCATCGTGTGTGGCAAATGTCTCTGGAATCCTCCTCTAACTCAATCTGGTGAAATCCCAGACGGAGATCCAGTTTTGAAAACACTTCGCTACCGTTCAGGTTCTCTAAGACTTCATCCACTGTTGGTATGGGTATCCTCTCACGAATGATAGCCTCATTTGCCTTCCGCATGTCCACACACAGCTTAATATCCCTGATGCCTTTGGTGCAACCACCACAGGACTTATCCACGACGTCGGCCCATCTACTCACTCAACTATATCCTTGGCAATGAGGTCTTCCACTTTCACAGTTACCTTCTCTCGCCAGTGCTAATGGAACACGCCTTGGCTTCTGAGCTATCGGTGTCACTTTCGAGTCAATGTGTAATTTCAGCTTGTAATCTTTAAGCTTACCAACACCGTCAAAAACCGTTGGGTGCTTAGCCTGAAGAGCCAAGCTAGATCCTCCCCGACGACATTGCACTTCCCAAAAGATTCTGACAAAAGAAAACGAGTGTATGAACTTCGTGTCGTCCAATTTGATCCGTACTCATACTCGTGGTTGAATAAATTGTACTCCCTCTGCGCAGTCATTAGTCCACCGAAATCGACTCTAAATTTATACCATTATTATTTATTATAGTCTATTCAATTTATTTTAGTTTATTATATTCTATTATAGTCTATTCATTCCTGTCCTTTCTGGGTACAAATAAATGGTTGTTGTTGTTGTTGTTGTTCAAACTCCTTGAATATTCATTAACCCTTCTGATGACGTAATTAGCATTATATAAGACTCAACTAATTATGCATGGGTGTCATTTGCGCGCTAAGTCCAAAACTAACAAGTCACCCCTCCCTCCACACCCCTCTTGTTTACTTTATTAGCACTCTCAGTCTACCCAGACGGGTTTGCTCGTCTGGGGTGGCTATCTCATATCTTAATGCTAATGAGTAAGCAGGAGGGATATTGTACCATTTATCTTATTATTAACAGGATGTTAGTTTTATTCGGAGCTACCACAAATCCCCAACAGTGGTGTTAACAGCCAAACATTCCAGCAGTGGAGGAAACGCAGCCCCAGATTACAACGGAATCATAAGCTGGATTGAGGTACAGTTAAGGAATGCCACTTACTATTTATAGAGTGAAAATCCCACAGATGTTCCCCGAGGAATATCAGTGATGGTATGTTGTGTTGTTAGCCTAATGGTTAGTGCATTGGACTCTGGGTCGAGCGGTCCGGGTTCAAGCCCTGGCCGTGGTCAGTGTGTTGTGTTCTTGGGCAAGACACTTTACTCTCAGAGCGCCTCTCTCCACCCAAAAGTATAAATTGGTCCCGGCGACAAAATGCTGGAGGCAACCTGCAATGGACTAGCATCTCATCCAGGGGAGCAGCAAGAGACTGGGATAAGTTCTGGCAGTTGTGGGCCACTAGGCTTGTGAAGAAGTTACCTTACCTATGTTGTGTCGTTGTTCTCAGTCGTGCCCTGTCGTGTTATGCTTTGCTATGCTTTCTCTCTCAAGGCGGACACCACTGTAATAAGGCAGACATGGTTGGTTGGTTGGTTGGCTGGTCTCGGCCGTATTTCACTTGTCCCGAGGATATGATGTCCGCCTTACAAGTTCACTGTATGACCTCATTGTTGTATATTTTCGTCTTCTTCCTTAGTATATCACCAACTCCGGATTCCGAATTTGCGTCAAAGAACTGTTTGTAAAACGTTTTGATCCGCTGACTGTGTATTATGCAGTATTGTCAGGTAAGTAATATTTTTTCAGACCTTTTCAAAAATTGCTAACGTTAGTTAGAGATCTGAAAAATGAAGGTATGTAAGGAATTAATTTTATGAAACCTTCTACAACAGAGACAACAAGAAAATCTATCCACGTTTATCCAAATGCGTGGCTAAACGGGAAGCCTTCGGGTCAGGGACAGTTTGATTACAACTGCATGCAAAGACTTGGTTGTATTGAATCATTAGCGTTGGACGTGAGATCAGGGGTTGATAGTCTCTCCACCAAGGTGCATCTAGGAACTGTTGCTGAGGCATCCTTACAAAATGCCGGCATGTGGATAACCTGCGAGCAGGTTCACGTTTGGGCCCCATACGCGAGCGGCGAAAGCCGCGAGAATCACGAGAAAGTGAGCCTCACATTCTCGCCGGCTAGCGCGTTTACCACTCGCGTATGAAGCCCAAACGTGAGCCTGCTAAACCTTCAATGGACTGGCATCCCATCCCGGGGAGTAGCAATAGGTTATTCATGCTAGTGAAACCATAGTTCAGCGAGCGCCGTCAGGCTCCTAGGTATTGTAGATTTTTAGGCTTGTAAATATTATGACATTAATAGTTTGTCCCTTTACAGGTGAATACCGTACGTAAAATTAATAAAGTTCTTCTTATTATATTATTATTATTATTATTATTATTATCGGAGGCGACTATATAAATTATTCTTTGTTTCAACAGATATTTGTCAGGATGACTGGACGTATTTTAAAGGATATTGCTACAGAAAAGTGTCTTCCTGTGATTCGTGGAGTAGCAGTCAGGGAACATGCGCTACACTGGGAGCTAGTCTTCCCAGCATTCATAGTCAGGAGGAAAATGTATATGTCCAAAGTCTACACGGTGGGGAACACTCTTGGTTGGGACTCTCTGATATCAAGACTGAAGGGACATTCCTGTGGAGTGATGGAACATCGTTTGACTTCCATTACTGGGCGAAACAACAACCAAACAACTTTCAAAATGAGGATTGTGTTCATACTCTTGGGTTCCTTCAAGGTTATAAGTATGAATGGAACGACGTAAATTGCACAGACTGCCACAGATTCACCTGCAAGAAAGGTAAGGCTAGGACATACATGTAGTTGGTCCAAGGGTGCAGACCCCCCTCCCACCTCCTTCCCCGCACACACACATACTGTACATACCCGGTCTGAATGTGCTTTCTGGAATATGTAGAGGCCATTTAGCTAAACAGCCTCCAACGGGTAAGCGCTCGTTTGGATCGATTCGCAATCTTTTCCTTGTTTGAGGAATACATGATTGCGTGACGAATGGAGAAGAACATTCAGTTGTATGTTTTGCATTAGCCTGCAAGCAAGCTTGCTCGCAGGCTACTAGTTTTGCGTATTTCAATATCACTTAGCGAAATGTTTAATTGGTACAGTAAACCTGTAATTATTTGCGTCATAATATAGATAATTTTTGACCAAATGACTATCCCTTCAATCAGTTACGGTCGAAGTACCACCTACAACTTCAACTCTTGAGCCCTTTGGTGACACTCTTTGCGTTTGAAAACGAAAGTTAAAAGTCTCCACATTTTCAGACGCAAAATATTCATTTTAACATGAATGTATTGTCTTGATACAGATTACAATGAATGCAAGGATTTCTCTTACGATTGTCCAGTGAACGCCACTTGTGTGAACAGTGATGGTTCTTACTCGTGTCGCTGCCCTGTTGGATATCGTCTGGATGGAAAAAATTGCTCAGGTTTGTAGGCATTAATTACTCCCAAGTTATATAATATTATGGAGCTGAACACTTATTACAAAATTTTTGTTCAACGTTACAAAGTTAGAAAGAGATAAAAGAAATGAAAAGTGCTTATATAACTCTACAGTGCACGCCTTCACCTCGTGCATTCAATAGCTGCTTCTGTAGACCTCAAAAGTGCATCATTTTCTTATAGACGTAGAAAACCATGTTCTATTACCGTAAAAGCTGTATGAAGCCCCCGGGGGCTTATTTAATTTTAGGCCTCAAGAAGGGGGGGCCTTCCAAGGGGGGCTTAATAGAGGGGGGGGGGGGCTAAATAGAGCTTTTACGGTAGGTAAATAATAAACTCGAACTGACTAATCGTAGCACACGTTATATGACCAAAACTTATTATGGAGGATAAAAAATGTAGGGTTCATGTGTGACTGAGACCAGGCTCAGTTTCTCCTTATAAAAGGTAACCAAATAGAGGACTGCAATTTCTGTCTTTGGCTTCCATGAACATAATAATACCACATAATTTTCTTTTTAAAATTCCCTTACAAATTGTAACATGATTACGTGAGAATGAATAACTGTACTCTTTATTGAAACAGATGTAAACGAGTGCCTGGGTTCATTTTCCTGTCATGCTAAAGCCAAGTGTGTCAATGTTCCTGGTTCCTACACTTGTAGATGTTTGCCAGGCTATGGAGGGGACGGTAAAAGAAATTGCAAAAGTAAGTTATTATTAAAATCAAATGCAGTAACAAGTTAATTTCTGCAGTTATAATAATTTACATGCCATTTAGGTATTTTTAATATCAAGATTTATTATTCAACAAATTGTCACGATGCCCATATATGGTCAAGAAGCCCTAGTTTTTTAACTGTCACCCGTACATGACAGATATCCTGCGGTATATGTAGTTTGCCATATTTGGAAGTGCACTCAAGAAGACTCATCCGACATATTGGAAAACGCTGCTGAGAGGACTTTTGCGACATTTCGATGCTTTTATTTTGTGACTCATTGACAATTTGTTGAATAATAAATGCTCAATCTTGCGGAATATTGTCTGATTTTAGCCAACTCGGCCTACGGCCTGTGATTTTTCAGGGTTTCGACAAAACACTGACCCCCGGTGAACTGACCCCTTACTGACCCCCTAACTGACCCCCTCTGAAATTCAATGGGGAAATGAGAAAAACAAAACAAAAGTCAAGAAAAATACAATGAGAGACAGAGTCAAGTTTATAAATAAATTTTAGCTTACCTGAACGTTCCAAGATGGCGGAAGTGTGGCTAAGGTTTACTGACTCTCTACTCTTTCATTGCAAGTACATCGAAAGTACAGGTTTTGTTCTCGGATTTAGCGCAAAATAAGTTGAAACATCATAAGCATGTTATTAGAGCTTGCCTCCATGAGGAAACTAGTTATAAAAGCAACAAAATAAACACACCCCACGTGCGATGCAACAACCGGAAGTTATTGTTGGATCTTGGTAGTTCCAGGTCCCCGGCCAATTTTCCCCATTTTAAAATACGACCTTTGGTGGTATTAATGGATAACATTTTCCTTGATGTACCTAGTCATCAAAATACCAAGGATTTACAAGGTAACTGATTCTCATTTATTTGACTGTATAATAAGCTTTTTACATGGAACAATCCAACAATGTCACTTCCGGTTGCTGTATCGTACGTGCGTGACGCTCGCGTGTGTTTATTTTACTTAGCCGACGAGGCCGTAGGCCGAGTTGGCTAAAATCAGGCGATATTCCGCAAGATTGAGCAGGATAATTGTTTTATTATTCAAAAAATTGATAACACAACTAAAAAATAATCTTCCACTTTTATTTCAAGAACTGCCTTGAACATTTTACTGCGCGCACACGAAATTACATATATCGCAGGATATCTGTTGAGTACGGTCGACAGATATTGAGTGCATCATGACCATAATATTATTTGGACAGTGTTATGATTTGTTGAATAATAAATCTTAATATTTCGCGCTCGTTTATCCGAGAACAACACCTGTACTTCATGTAATGATAGAGTAGAGTCAGTAGACCTTAGCCACACTTAGAAATTTCAGGTATATTTATGAACTTGATTCAGTCTCTCATTGTATTGTTCTGGACTTTTGTTCTGTTTTTCTCATTTCACCAGTGAATTTTAGAGGGGGTGTACAGCTCCGCAAATGATCCCGGGACCGCAAATGATCCCCGACCGCAAATGATCCCCAAATTGGACCGCAAATGATCCCTGACCACAAATGATCCCAGAATGGACCGCAAATGATCCCGCTAAAAATCGAGGAATGGCGTGGACGGTGGACGCGATTTTGAATATTTTCCCCAATAACTGAATCTGTGCACGCTAGACATTTTTATGACGGAAGTGATATATATTGTTTCATTACTTAAGGCATTGATGTAGATTTTAGAGAGAAAAAAAAACTCAAAATCACTGAACGAGAATACCAGATATATTCTAAAAATAGTTAATTCGAGAAGGTGTTATTTTTGGTTTTCGCTGTAAACTTCATCTGCGTCTAGAATGATTGCAGATTTCAGTATTGCTTTCGCGTCACCAAGATTCATTTATCTATAAATTTCGAGATTAAAGACGGTATTCTGCGCCATGAAACAAGCTATACATGGAAATTGAAACACCCGTTACAGCAAACTACTTCACGAAATCGGCAAATAACATTTCCGGTGAATTATCGTGATTATTTCATGCTGTTTTGGCGGCATCGACTGCATTTA